TGCAGCTCCTCCCAGCAGCACAGAGTTTACCCCATTTTGTGGATCCTTACGCTCTGACAAGAAGTCATTAATAACTATTTTACTGCTATGCATAAAAGCTTTTATCATGGCATAAGCAGAATTTATTCCTGACAAATCCATGTTGCAATGTCACAGTCTTTATCAGATAAAAGTGTGATAATGATTTAGTCAGTTTGGTCCTCTGTGTCTGGGTGGATGGGGCGGGGGTGGGAGGGGTAAGTACATAGATGTTTGTGCTTATTTGTGCTGGAGAGATTGTGGAAGCTGTTTAAACTGTACGTAAAACAGTCCTTGGAAAGGATGCAACACCTAGGGCAGGGACATAACCATAAGCAGACATTACACTAATGATGTAACATACAATAGGTTTGAAATCTTTATCACACAATAATTATAAAATACTTTTTCTGGCACTTGTTGCAATGATTCTAATAAACAATGCTTGATTAAATTGTTTGGCTCCTGTGAACATGACACAGTTGTCACCTTTATCTTTCATTGGGGAAGCTCAGAAACAATGAAATGCAGGGCCGAGTCTGTGTACTAGGACTGCTATAACACTTTGAAATCAAGTGAAAGAAGTCTTGTACCAAAAGAAATGTTCATAGTTGGATACCAAACAGATTGCAAGTTTTCCAGTCATCCCATCAAAAGAAGGTGCAGAATTCCTGCTAATGTGTGGATCAGATTGCTTAGAGGTGGAGGAGGAATTTTTATGTGTTGTCTTAAAAGAAAAGATGGACAGTAGAAAATGATCTGTAAAACACTTTAAAATCAAATTTCATTATCAAACTTAAATAGTTTTAAGACCTATTGTCTTTCTCAGCTGAGAAGTCTCTATTTCCTAGTAGTTGCCAAGATAACCGAGAAGATAGGCCTTGCCTAAGCAACTAAGCCTGCCCAGCACAGCTTGTCCACTGAAAAATGCCACCTCCTTCAGACCTGTGTGACTGCAGTCACACACTACAGTATCTATTATCCTGGGTACTCTGCTGGGCTATGAGTGCAATGCTGGTTCCCAGCAGCACGCAGAATATACACTGCTGTTCAAAACGTGCGTCTACAACCTGCAGCGATTCTTAGCTCAGCTGGGTAAGTTCTCTAACCGTTCACTCAAAACCCATTTCCCTAATCTCTGTGTCATATTGTTACCATACCAAACCACTCCTTTATCAGAAAGGCTTATTGCAAGCACCTGGGTACCTGGTCACATTCTTAAAAAGGATATTTTTTAGGAGATGGCTTAGTCAAATACAATGGATTGAGCACTGAGCAGGCCGATGTAAAATCATAACTGAGTTAATGGCAGCAATTTAATGGGCAGAAAAAGGGAGAAAATGTCAAGGTCAGAGCTGGGACAGGTTTACAGAAGAGAAATGTATTCTGTAAAAGAAAATGACAATGACAAACTGGGTTGGTCAGGTGGGGAAAAAGTATATGTACTTCCTGAACTATCTTGAAGATCATTACCCTAGCTCATTAAGCTATGAGTCCTAGCTCATTAAGCCTCAGATAGTTACCATTATTCTTGCCACTGTCTACAGACAAGTTCAAATGACTGTATAGATAGTAAGACTGTAAAAATCTGAAGAAACCTGTAATTATCCAGGGTAGTGGCTGTCCTGAATATCAGAACAGGTGACCACAAAATACAGTGCAATTTTTTGTGTGTGATTTTGTTGCCTGGTAAAACTCATTAATGTAAATTGCAGGGGAGGGAATTATGATTAAGGCAAAAAAACAATTTTCACCAAGTTCCATTTGTAGTAAAGTGCTCTTAGCTGTTGCTTATTTGCTGCAGTACACTTTTTACAAAATAAAGCAAGTTCTATCAGTATTGCTATTCTGAATTGAACTTTCATGGCACAGTGTATTAAACATATCACTTGTCTTTTATATTCTTGCTGTCAGATAGAAAATAGCAATACATTGGCTCCTGGTAATTGTAAATCATCAGAAGGATTTTTAATTTTTGTCTAAGAAAACCTTTAATACAGGTATTTCTATATCCGGAAGTCACAAATACATATTTATGCTTCTGATTTCCTTTTAACTCACTCTTTCTCCCATGAGAATTAGGGCTTTTGTTCTCTTGATTAACTCTCTATATATGAGTTAATAGTGAAGTTTACTTCCCCTTCCTTCCTCCCCTGTGATGACAAACATGTTTGTAGTTTTGGTTTCAAGGTTTTGTATTAAAGTTTAGCTTGATTAACTCAATGGTGATTTCTCCTGATAATTTCAATCAACGTGTAGTTCTACCCAGTCCTATTCCCACACTTCCCAGTTCTGATACCACTTTATCTGACGCCTTATATCCTGGCTACACTGGACACTGAGGAACCAGCCTCTTTTAGTCATGACTTCAGATTTGCTACTTCAGTTTTCAAGACTTTTGCCATCTTCACTCTGAGAGGAGCCTTGGAACCAAGTGCCAAAAATGTAGACACTTCCAGTGTGTTTCAGGAAAGAACATACACAATTCTAACACAGCATTGTATTTTAATCTGTATGAAATCCATTTGTAGAAGGTCAACCATTCAATACAGCATATGCAGATAGAGGTGCAATTCCTATGTTCCTATGAAGTATCTGAGTTTTTTTCCCCCCTATAAAACAGCTATTTAGTCATATTTAACATACAAATCTGAGACAATAAATATGTCCTGATAGAGCTATTATGATGCTGCAGTTCTGGATCAAAGCCCTCTCTTGGCCACTTCAGGACACTTTCCCTCTTTCTATCTTTTTTTTTCCCCTGCATGATAATCCAATTGCCTAACTGCTAGTTGAAGATAACTTCCTGGTGTTTGTGCTACCAATTTTGGTGTGTCTCATTCCAAGTCTGTCTCCCCATGGAGCTGGTTATTTACCATCAGGCTTTTCCAGCTGTAGTTCTGCTAGTACAAGGCTGACTTAGGCAGCACATTTGATTTCTAGCAGGAATCACATATGTGACCTTCCACTATCAGCTCACAAAATCTGCAGGATAACAGGCAACACAACCCATTGAAAAAAACCAACCTGCAGCAGAAGGCTAAAATCCTCACAGTAGCCTTTGGCTATTGAATGTAGTATTGGTGGATACACATTCTATTATGGTAAGCAGATTTTCATTAGACACATTAGGTAACACACAGCACACACAAGTAATACAGAAAACAGACATCACAAGAGTGCTTTAATTTCAGAGAAAAAAAAAAAAAGTAAGAATCCTGTTGTTACAAAAGAAATGTAATACTAGAGCACTGGGAGTGTAGTTTGTTCTCTTTGTACTTGTAGATGGAACAATGCAGGAACTTTACCAAGCACAAACCTGATCTGTGCCAAGCTTTGTTCTTTAGAGTTGAACTCAGGATGTTTTCCTAGTCAAAGTTTCTAGTTCAGCACATTATTAATGACTTCCAGTCTTTTTGTTTATGCTTCTGAGGATGGTGGTTTTATGGTTTTCTTGCGCCCCACTTAGATGACAGATTTGCATCTGCAGTCAAGTTTAACACTGGATGCAGCTCAGAAGCAATGCAAGCCCACTTATGGTCTGCTTCCAGTGCACAGTAAGGGGTCATGGGTCTTAGTTCATGCAGCTTTGTTTACTCCAACAGTGGTAAACTTAAATGTACAGTAAGAGATGGATGCAAACAGAGAAGCCGAGATAGCACTCATTCATTTTGGGGAAAAGCCAGTTATTAAAGCTAAGGTGCAGAAGGTGCAGAAAGAGACATCTTTCTAGAAGTGGGTTCAATGAGCAGGCACTTGGGAGATCAACCACGTTGCTGTACATGCCAGTGTAGCTGCCTGTGACAGGTATAAAACACATTTTGAGACTACTCTGAGACAAGACCAGACTGACTCACATATTTGTTCAAGTTAGTAATACACAATTCATAACTCAGCAATGTGAACTTGAAGAAAAATACCAAGTTCCTCCTCATTTGTGATTAGGTCCCTTTGGTATTTTAGCTTTGCAAGCTTTAATTCCTGCTAGACCTACTGTTAAGAGGCAAGGTGAAACAGTCTCACAATATGGAACATCAGAGAAATAGGGAGTCTTTTGATGGAAAGGTACATCAGACAGGGAGAAGGTTTTGTGAACAGAAACTGTGCAGGTTGTATAGGAAAGGGAATGACAAGAGGAGCACTGGTAGGTATGTATCTTGCTGTAAGTTGAAGCACTTCTTTTGGATAACAGAATGAAACAAAGCAATTTTTCTTGGCTTTTAAAAGTACACAGCTGAAGGAGACAGGTGATACAAAGTCTATTCGTCAAATAAAATCTACTGTACTGAGATTGTTCAAAGTGTTGGGGAAGGAGGAAGACAGTTGTGCTGTCCCTACCTTCCCAAAGGTGACAATCCTTTTTTTCACCTGACCAAGAACCTGAAAAGACAATCGTCATTCCTCCCACTGCCGCAGCCTCTGTGAGTGGAAGGAGGCAGCATAGACCTAATGACATCCACAAGCAGTTGAGACTGGCCACCCCCAACCTTGTAGAAGATGCTCCTCAGTTCAGGTGAGGAGATAAAAAGATAAAAGACACTGCTGGTGCTCAGCTTAGCTGATAGCCTGCATTGCCATAGAGTACCTGCATTCCTAGGCCCTTCCCTTGGTCTCCAGAACAGACAGCAAATAAGACATCTGCTATAGGCAAAATTGGCCCTAACTTCTTCCTTTTCACAAGCCCTAAGTTCTCCCCAAAACCATTTGTTGCTGGCTCACCTCTGAAGCTGACACTGTTTGATTCCTGCCACTCCTTTAGGCACTAGAGCTTTCCTGGGCCTTTCCACTCCCACTTTTTGAAAAGTGACTCTGTGTCAACAGCAGGATCCCAGCAGAAGGGATATCTGGAAAAGCTGTTGCCAGAAAGTTGCTCTCTCTATTTGTGGATGAACATGATTAGCTCATGATCTTTAAAATCTGCTTCAGTGGTAGCTTCCCAGGGAGACTGTAATTTTTAAAAAAGAATGAACATTCATTTTTAACCTTTTCCTTGAGTATGAAAATGTTGCCGATTGTTTTCTGACACCTAAGAAAGTTTGAGGGAAATGGGGAGCTAAGAAATCCTGAAACTGGGGAATTATTTTAAAGCTGTTGTTTTCCTGGATTCTTTCATGCAAATTTTTATAACTAGGTAACACAACTCAGCCAGATTCAACATCATGCAGATCCCAGACACAGCAAGCATGAAAATAGTAAATGTAGTTTTCTCAGTGGGCCGAGACACAAAACAATCCACTGTGTTGGGGCAGGGCCATGCACTGCACTTCACCAGGCGAGGCATCTGGTACCCATCGTACATGTAATAGAACACATACATGAAGACTGCTTCAAAGACGATCCTGAAGAAGATGCTGCTGGTGTACGTCCACCACAGGGGCCCCCGAATATGCATCTTTTCATTTTTCAGCTCTTCAATATCAATTTTCTCACCATTTCTGAATCGCCTCTTCTTCTCATGCCTGGTATACGCTACGTGCATGGCCACCAGCAGCGCCGGTGTGGAAACAAAGATCAGCTGCAGGGCCCAGAGTCTGATGTGAGAGATGGGGAAAAAGTGATCATAGCAAACGTTTCTGCACCCAGGCTGCAGTGTGTTGCAGACAAAATCTTGCTGCTCATCTCCCCAGACTCTCTCTGCAGCCACAACCAGGATCATGATCCGGAAGATGAAGAGGACTGTGAGCCATATCTTCCCGATGCTGGTGGAGTGTTTGTTTACGCCTCCCAAAACGGCCTGCAGGCTTCCCCAGTCCATCTTCTTCTCTGTGTCCCTTCACCTGCAGGATGACATAATACAATAAATGGTCACTTTTCAAAGGATGAAAAATCAGCTCTAAGACCTTCTACAAACAAGAGGATTTCCTAGCACTCACTCAAGAGTCATATGCAAATCACTTTCATGAATGTCACCCATATGTTTATGGATTCAAACAGATTAATAAATTCTTTATCCATGTATTTTTGATGGTACAAGCATACCTTGATATACTTCTCAATGAGGCTCTGGGCAGGAAATAAATTCTTTGTATTTCAAATACATTCCCTCCATTCACCACCCTCTGTGCCCTCTTTCCCTTTCTTGAGACATTTACCTATCTGTGATCAACTCTCAGTGTTTTGCCCCTCGGTGTATTTCCCAAAGCCACAGAAATTACTGTCACTGCACAAGTTAAGGCCACATCTAGACATAGTAGACACTTCTCTAGTAGTTTTCACAGTATTTCTTTGTGAATGTCACAGCCTTAGAAGGTCAGGCTGGTGCCTTCTTTGCCTCTGAGGTTAAGTACTACCTGTTTTCTTCAGTAGAAGCCCTCACTTCTTCCAGACACCTCCAGCAGGCCTCCAAGGCTTTCTGCTGTAGCTCAGACATGGCCCTTCATTTAAGCACGGCATTTGATTTTGCCAACACTGCCGAGAAGCCTCAAGCCAGCTCTGCCAAGGCTGCTCTGTATGCTATATATATAGCATACACCAACAGGCAAAGAAAGATATTGCAGAGCCTGCCCTTCCACATTCATTGCTATCTCATCCAAAAAAGGAGGCAAGCAGAGCCGTAGAGTTGAAAGGAAAAAGCCCTCAACTAAGGAGTTCATGTTGATTTTCTAGATGTCATCACACCCCAGCAGAACAAGCAGGACATCAAACTCCAGCAAAGCTCCATTCTGGCTTTCCTCCTGCTCTTGAAAACTCAAATCCACACTCTTTGCCCCTTTGAAAGTTAAATGTTGACTTCTGCTGAAGTTAGAACTCAGTCTCAGGGCTCAGCTTTCACTGATTGCAGCCATTTTGGAACTACCACCAAATCGGACAAAACACTTTGAAAGCAGAGCTGGGAACCTGCATGGTTTGTCCGTTGTCTTTCAATGCTAAGGCAAAACTCTGCTGTGTGGGAGAGCCACAATGGCTGTGGGCAAGAGCTCAGTCTCCTCTTGGCACAGGCTGTGTGCTGCGGAGACAGCATGATACTTCACAACACCACACTGAGAAAAGTTTTCAAAGTTCTCAGCCTCCCATAACAGAAAAAATAAACCCTAATAACCCACCAAAATTCTCTACCCTAGTGTAGTTGTAACACAACTAAAGGATTAACGTGCACAGACACATATTCTTGGTACAAGGGCCTAGCTTGTACAGACAAGCCTTGAGGCAAGAGGGAGAGGTCAGTTTTACCGTGATGAGGAAAGGTGAAATTGGGTAAGACAGGGGTAAAAAAAAAAAGCTTTAAGAAGGTGGCTGGAATTCCTTAGATTTCTTATGTTCTGTCTCTGCTGAAACTAGCAGCATTTTACGCAACTTCCTACATTGACCTAAAATCTAGGCTTTTGGTCAATGTGATCAGATATCTGCATCTTTCTATTAAGAATTTCCTCATATCTGTTGCACGGTCATTAAAGTCAATGAAACCCTCACAAAGGCAAATCAGGACTGAAAGGAAGCATGGAAGCCTATATCCCAGTGGGATGAACACCATGGGCTCCAAGCGTGGTCCCACACTGCAGTTCTGGACCCAGCGCTGCAAGTCTGGGAGGAAAACCCCCGGATTTCTCGCTGCTCATTCGCTACAGAAACACTGAGACTGGCTGTGGGGAGTCAGCGAATGTAGAGGGGCGCTCACCCTGCCAACGATTTGCTGGAAACTAGTCGAGATCCCCTCTCGTGGACGCCCCGAGGCAGCTCCCAGGCGCGC